ACTTCACTGTCATTCTGGCATTCGAGCATCTGCCTCAGGAATACCGACTCTTGTGCCTGCAACTGGAAAGCATCCACCAGACAGTCGAGATAGATCAAGCAATGGAGAGAGAGAAGGAAGGCGGGGCAGAGGAGAAGGGGAGACGAGGGTAGCTCACCTGCATGACTTGAATGAGGAAGCCCAGCAGCTCAGGGCTCATGTCCCGACTGGGTGTGTGGGCGAAGCTCTCACGCAACACCTGCAGGTTCGCGCGCGCCTGCACAAACCAACGCGTCTGTTCCAACAGCGCGTCTGCTGATTCAGTGCTCTGTAGGAAAAGATTATTGCGCCATTATATTACCTCTATTCAGTCTTTCTGATCCCTCAGGCGTCATTTTTCAGTTCAGTCGAACTGGACGCTCAAAAACCCGCCACCTTCAGGTTCACGCCACACCTGAAAGTCATCTGTCCACATTTCTGCATCATGCAAGTACTTGAGGCTAAATACAGCACGGCTTTTAGTTGACACCGGATAATAGGACTGCCTCGTTGGTGATTGCTCAAAGACGCTCTCCAATTCCCACTGTGGATGGTTCCGCATCGACTGCGGCGTTATTAGCTCCTGCGAGTATCCACTTGCCATGAGCCACTCAACTTCTCACGATACAATGCAGTCGTTGGCAGCACTACTGGCAGCTAGATCTTCCATGATGTTCCTCAATTGTTTCACCTTTTCATGCTGAGGCGTGGCCCCTACTGCCTTCCACTTTCGAGGCTGTTTGCCAACTCCCACAACCGAGGGGCATGGGAGTTGGCGCACCCCACGCAGCCAGCATAGGCAATGCAATCACCCAGTCATGCTCTGCTTGTCTCCCACTTCACCAACAATCATGTGACAAAGGTAGCCTATTATTACTTTGCTAATGCGGCTCCATTATTTGCAGCATTTAACCGAATCCTCCCACCTTCTTCTTACACCCATCTAACTGGCGCCCGTGTCTTTTGCCCCTCTTACTGTGCAATACAGTGTTTGGGCAGGATTACCTACGATGCCACCAGAATCACGAAAGCAGAAGTGCATTCAGCCACACAAATGACGTGGATAGTGCTCAATGAAAAACAAAATAGGCAAGTGTTTCGTAGCTGGAGGCCGTTTTAGGCCTCTCACTCCTCCCTTCACCGATTTATCACCAATACCGGCGGCTGAGGTCTTTCACATCAACAGTTGATCCAATCACCTGTTTACCAATGCCACTCATGCGCTGTCATCATTGTAACGCCGATTAGGGACAGCAAATCGTCAGAGTAATCGGTACGGACCGATCCCCCAATCCGACACCGACAACACTCACCTCAAGTGGGTAATGCCTCATTCAGTCCCTCAGATCACATGCAAACAAACAGAGGGAAGGAAGGCGAGTGATGGATTTGCTGACCGCATGCCCAGCTGCACGCATTGGTTGGTTAGCTTGTTTGGCCACACTTCATCGTGCCCAAGCATTCACACCTCAATGCCGTCCTTGCATCCGAAGTACCATGCATGCTCACGTGGGAGGCGAGCATTGGCGAGATGACAGAGAAGGCATGATGGTGACTGCACCCACAGCCACGTCCAGTGCCAACAAGCAAGATGAACGAAGTGAGCGGCATTGGTGTGCAAACCCACCTACACAAAGGCTGTCGGTGATGACTAACCGACGTAGCTGGTTGATCGTGCGGGCAAGTGGGTGGGTGGGTAGGTGCGTGAGTGGATGTGAGCCGTCTCAGTTTTCAGCCACCCTCACTCGCTATCATCTCTCCATCTCTCGCCCTCCTGTCCAAAGCAATCTGCATACATTTACACACACATACACACACATGCACACACACACACACAAATGCACAGTGATTAACCAGCTCAGAGGGCAACAGGTCGAGAGGATGGGCGAGTGAGAGAGAGAAATGTGTGCCAACGCGTCAGACTGCACGTGTGCGCCTTTGTGGATGCAAGACTGGAGGAGAAGCCCGCATTAAAACCCTCACTTATTTCCTTCCAAATCGCACAAATGCAAACAGCCAAAATCCTGACACTTCCACATGTGCGACGCTATATGAACCTGCGTTACTTTAGCATCACATGCGTAATTTGTAAAGCAACTTTTTGAACTTAAAGGTGTTTGTCTGCACTTTTGCTGCTTCAGTAGCATTACTCCCCAAAAATTGTTAACAAATTTACACACATCAAAAAGATTATTTCATTCATTTCACTCTGCTTGGTTATTCGTACCCCAAAATCAGGGTTCTGCTGGGCCGCCGGACCAAGGCAGTAGCCCTTTGGCCCTTCTCTACGCCCACACTGCATAGTCTCCCCTACCATCATGCCTTTCTTCGTCTTCAAGGATGTCTCGAGGCGCTGCATTGGTAGCAGGGGTATGCAAACCCGATCCTAGTAGACATTCCTCCTCATTTCTACCGGTGGGTGATAAACCTTAACGTGACGGAAGAGGGGGATGTGCCGTGGATGGGAGAGTCCGTGAAGAGCACCAACAGCAGGGTTGGCAAATGGGTCTATCTACCTTCGGGAACTCGTTAGGTCCGTTTTTTGCAGGAACGTTATTACCAACTGAATCGACACTTGCCTCAAGTTATGTGGAAGTGTTGGCTACAGAGCTATCTACGGCATCTGTATGAGGACGTCAATTGAGTGAACATGCGACTCCTGCTCCACCTCTCCACTGCCTGGAAACAACCTAGATGGATAAATGGTTTGGCAGGACTGGGGTGAGATCAAAGTATCAAGGCGGAATAGACGGAAAACTCAGTAACCAGCTCAGAAGTAAACAGGTCGTGGGACAGATGAGAGTTTGTCGTTTGCTCTTGACAACGTACTGGCAAATCACATGAAAAATGTCACATTGGCCTCTTCAATCAAGAAATTTAAAACGCGACCTCTTTTGTAAACGTCTTTTGAGACAGTCATGTTTAAAACTCTATTGTATTTTAACTGCTAACGCTCGCCACCAGCGTCACGTATATGTGACATCAAATTAAGATAACCCTTAATTGCACTGAATCGTGTCGCTGTAACAAAACTGACTACGTTAAAGGCAACATCGTAACCAAGGAAGGCTCTTAATTTGGGACTAGTTACAGTTTTTCTTTATTTGCGCAAAATGCTCCTCCATAAGACACATCTTTCGTGGGCAGTGGTGGTCGATTTTACTTTGTCATCTCGACAACAGATATGTTGATGCAGAAAACTCAGGTAAACTATGTTTAGATTTGACCCAGTTTTTCCTTGCCCACAGAGTTGTTTGACTTTTTAATACTTTCATTATTTGTTCAACCCTTCGTTTCGATTACGCGGGCACGCAAGGCCCCGCCACTTATGCCTTCAGTGGCGGCATGGCCCCCGGGCCAGGCTAGTCGGCCGTCTAGCCCTTCTCTCCGTCGGCAGCGCATTTTCTGTTCTAGTGCGATAAATTTTATGAAATTAGAGAAGACTCGGTCTTCTACTTTCAATGGTAACTTGAAAGATGGAAAGGCGTTAGCCGATGCGTTTACAGCCACGCCTACAAACAATGAAGATTTTCGCAGACCTTTTTTAAATCAAAACTCCTTAATTTCTGTTTCTATAGACAAACGAAGATTGCCTGCATTTGCTTTTAATTGAAGGTTACCATAGCAAAAACACGTTGGTGCTTTTGATGGGCACTGGTCTGAAATTTTTACCTCGACAGGGGTAATAAACTTGTCTTACATTTGGACATTTCACAAAAGAGTAGGAAAAGTAGTAAAGTTCTATATCCTACACTGACGTCGTGGAAATGCTTTCGTCCGTAAATCCAGATGGTTATCTCTACGACTCCTGTTTGTACTGCGTACTCTTCGGTGCATTTAATCATCTTCCTGAAATAAAGTTTAAGATCTGACGCTTTCAATGTTTCGAAAAATGTAAAAGCAAACTAATTTTTTCCCTCACAAAAAAGTTGCATTTTATTTTGCATTGGCAGGGAAAATAAGGTGCTTCCGTAGAAATGCCGTCGCAAGGCCTTTCGGAGCCCGATCCTTTATTGAAACATAAGAAGGTGCACAGGTAAAACTTCATCCGTTTCGTGGAGACTGACGCATTTCTTGTAGACCGCCGACTTCTGATCTTTTTGTCTGTGCACGTAAGGGCAGCCGGGCGAACAGCCGGTATACCTGCAAGAACGGCCCGACGTTCGCCTTCGGCTATCTCGGTCCCCCTAATTTCCTACTTCAAAAGTGGCACTGACACCGAACACTCCCTGCAGAAATTGTAGCGTAGGAGTTGCCTTCTAGAACTAGATCCTGTGTATTTCCGTGGCAAAAAACCCTTTAAATCAGGCCGCCCTGCAACTAAACCCAGAAATAATTAAATGAAGGTGAACAAGTCCTACTTGAATGTGTTTTAACTAACACTTTATAAGAAAAAATGGCCCACCCTCGAAAAATCGTGCTTTGAAAGAATGAAACTACGAAGTATGCGACCTCACAACTAAAATTAAAGGAAACGGTGTCGAAAGGGGTGGAGAGAAAACACGATCAAGCGCACCTTGCTGACAGTGAATCTCTCCACTGTCTGCTCAACCATCTCACCCTTTGATAGGTCCGGTCTGACCCCATCTTCTTGGGATGGTAGTAGCGGCATTTAGGCGGCATTGTTGCCCACCTCCTCCTGGCGCCTGTCACACTTCTCCGAGGACCACAGAGTGACTTCGTCATGTGTGCAAAAGGGCATTAGCCACTCCAACAGTCTCATTCTCTTCTCCTCTCTGTTCTGAGCTCGTGTTTTGAAAAAAAATGACGGGAACCAACCGTGAAGTAGATGATGTGAAGACGTCATCAATGTTCTCTACCAACTTTGACTCATGACTCATCTATTCCAGCCACTTCCCTCCAAAGTGTTTGGCATTTGGTGACCTTCGATAGGTAACACCAGCAGTGGAGGTCGAGCTAAAAGCCCCTCTCTAAATACGCATTGAAATTGATGAGATGCATGAAAAGGGGATTAGTTCTCGTAAATATTGTTGTCTTTTGAAATTCTAAGGCATAGACACCTTCCAGCAGTCATTCCACTTCCTCACCTCGCAGCCAATTCTGATCTTTTTAGAGGCGATGGGCTTAAATATACACCTCGTCGACCCAGTGCAGACCACAAAATGGCTACTGCAGCGGTTCCCACATCATCAGCACAAGTTGTGTACCTTTCGGTAGAAATTTTGGCTAACAAAGGAGCCTACATGCTGAGTATCAACTGATCACAGGAGGAACCAATTTGCTTTGAGAGTCACGTCTCGTGGAAAACTAGGTTTCGTCTAATAAAAAAAAACCTTAGATTCTCAGGACTTGCGAAAAGGAGATTGAAATTCACACGGTGAGCATTGGCTGTCAATTTTCATCTACACTTTCTCCTACCCATCTGCAAAAACACCTCAAATTTTTGCCCTTTCGGAGGTAAGTTATCCATTGCCTCGAGGCCTGAAGTACGAGTCAGGCCCGTCCACAACCAAGTTCCACACAAAGAACAATGAGCAGGTGAGGAAGGTATAAAAATCCTGGGTGACAATCACCTTGCTCAAAGTATACACTGAAATTCGTGTGTTGATAGAATGGATATTTTACAGCCTACAACTCCTTCTTTTCTTGATACTCCGCGCCGATTGGAAGGGTGAACTAGAAAACTCGTAAAAAGGCATTGAAATTGCAGGAGGGCCGCAAAGTTCAGGGCCACCTAATGCTTTGCAGGATATCACTTTCTTTCGCCTAAACTCAAAAGAAGTTGGTATTTTCTTTTTTTATTTTAAAATATGCGAGAGATTTTCTCGTGGTGATCTAAACGTGGTAAACGGTGTCTCGAAAATTTCCTCCCCCGGCTATCCCCTGGGCATAATAAATCCGGAGACGTGATTGAATTGGCCCTTTTTTAACTTTCAAATTAAGCATTACTTATGAAGAATAACAAAAAAACACATTTTTAAGAAGTTTCTACGCTTGTAAAAAAAATGAGTGGGTGTTTTCATGCAATCGTTCAGTTGAATTTTTACTTTAATACATTAATTACTTGTTTAATTCGCGGTTTTTTTGTAATGAGCCACTCAGGAGCCCCGTCATTGTACCCTCGCGGAGCGGCCGGGCCTTCAGATCATGATAGTAGCCCCAAGCCCTACTGTTTGTCAAAAATGCCCATTGTGACCAGGTATTATTATTTCTCGTTTCTTCAGGAAAGTTTTGGGGTGCTACATCCACTGCAGACTGCGTCAAAAAAGCATATACGTCTTTTGCACCTAAAAATTGTGGTGCCGATCCTATATAAGTTGCTTACACTGCTATGCCGGAAACGAAGGAGAGAGATTGCAAGGCAAGCAAAATTTGATTTTGTATTTCATTTGCAACCAAGCAATTATATAGCCAGTCAAAATGCCAAATTTAATTTTAGAAGCATAAAACACCTCGGTCTGGTGAATTTGAACGGTTATTTTGCCTGGTCAGACAGGAATGTGTAATTAAGGCCCGAAGGAGACAGCTACCTTAGTACAGAGGTGGAAAGAGGTCTTGACTTCGTATCGGGCAAATATGGGATCTGGCACTGGTCAAAAAAACATCTCCGCTAAGGTGAAATGTAGGCTTCCTTGCACATGAGGCATAAAGACAACCTTCCATCCCTCCTATACTTCGATAGCATGGGCTTCTTTACTACTTTGGAGGGTTACCGTAATACGATAGTGGTTTATCACCCAGTATTAGTGAGGCGCCACTTTTGTACACCGAATTAGCCCTCTTGTACCTCGCTAAGTGGGCTGGCTTTTTAAGCCATGCCAATAGTCCAGACAACTCTGCACTACACATATACTCTGCCCGAGTACTGTGTCTTCTTTAGTCTTCAGGGAGTCTCGGGACGATACATTAAGCATTCTGTGAGGAATAAAAACGCCACAAAACCAAAAAATGCGCATCATGGAAGTCCTTTAAAGAAGCTGCTTAGCCTTGCTGATACAATTATATTTCCACAAAACTGCTTTAAGGAAAAGTGATGACTCTTATTTTAGTCAAAATTCATTTGGGAATAAAGCAGTCATATTTAATCATGTCAAAGCGCCATAGACCCTCATGCTTTCGACACTGTAAGGCCCGAGAATTTAAAAGATCTCTTGTTGCATATAATAAAAGTGGTAAAGTAGTTAATTTCATCGTTGCTGCTTGCAAAGCTCTTTGCTTAGAGATTTGGTGGCTTAAATATTACCGATAGGCACCTCACACAAATTCGTTTATTTAAAACTTGTTTGATTGGATTTTATAGTTTTAGGCTGCAAATGACACATTTATCATTAAAAATTACCCAGACTTAGCCTTATTTGTTAGAATTGTTGAATTGCAAGGTTGAATAAATACCGCATCTGTTAAGATAGTCGCCAGCGTTGGGGTTTACGGCTCAAACACTCGGAAGAGTTCATTATGTTCCAGTTATGCGCAAGTGATAATATACCAGCTCATCCAGTTCCTGAGAACGAGCTAGTGGTGGTTGGAGGAAGTCAAGTACTAGTTGCAGACCTTTACTATAATTTTATTAAGGTCAAAAATCCCCGATGTCTTACAATAAGAACAGAACTAGATAGAAGGAAATCAGAGATTCTCCCTGACATTGACAAAGCTGTACGTATGAGAAGGGGTGCAGAAAATATGCTACAGTATGTTTCCTTGAAGTTGTGATTATTTATTGTTTAGTGCCAGTGAACGCAGGAATATACTTACTAAAGCACACAAAACAAAACTTGAAGATGAACTACAGGTAGAGTCTGCAACAATTGGTACCTTAAAGGATAAAATGGATTGCTTGAATTCCGAATTTGCTACGTATCAAAACTTGGAGTAAGTTTAGCGTCATATGGTGTTTTCAACTCATGTTTTGGCCTAAGTTTTACAAAATCGCATTCATAGTTTCCAAAATACTATTAATGTATTTGTTTTCAAAGAGCTTGTCACTTAAATTCAGTTTTTGAAAAAAAGACTGTTATAATGGCTGATGTTTGACAAACACTGGCACTAACGCCCTTTGAATCATTCTCCTTCAGACTGATCTTTGGGTACTTCTATAATCCATAAATGATCAAAATACAGTAAAATTTTTTACAACTAAATACTTTTACAATGTATACCATTTTATCGATGTACTGTATTTAATTGAGCTTAAAATGTTAACAACTCTCTCTTTTTACTTGATGATTCCCCTAGCCTGATGAAACGTTACCAATGTTTCACACAATTTCTTAATGATTTTTAAAACAATCTTGTGCACTGTTTCATTGAAATTATGACTTAAAAAATATAGGTTTTAAATTTATTAGGTGAAACTTTTTTGATGATACAATCTTATCTATGCTTGCATTTTATGGAATGTTGCTCTAGTTACACGTTGCAGTCTACGGACTTTTGCAACACCATTTCATTATGCAATTCTACATCGTTGATTAATGCGCCTGTGCATGACTCGTAATTTTAACGGATCTAATCTTGTCAAGAGTAGAGGATAAACTCAAGTGGACGTACATCATTTATTTTTATATGCGCCTCAATGTATGCCATGCATGGAATTGTTCAAGTACTTTATTAAGCACTGTGTGTATCCATCACGTCGGATTTTCGTCATCCTCACATCGCACAAATGACGAAGCTCCTAGTTTTGCACTAGTTTTAAGTCAACTTGCAGTAGAACTTATCTGTAAAAAATTATTGTAGCCACCATATCAATTAAAATAAAAATTTGATTAATTGCTTTATTTACTTCCTTATTTAAACAATGCAAACCAGTCAGTATGGAGCAATCGAAATCGTAAAATAAACGCTTAAACTCTAAAACTAGTCCCATCTAGGGATGGCGGAAGTTTTCGCCAGCAAATGTGGCTGCCAAACCGAGTTCCTCTTCAATCCTCAACAGCTGGTTGTACTTTGCCAGTCGCTCGGAGCGACAGGGCGCCCCTGTCTTTATCTGACCCGTTCTCAGTCCCACGACCAGGTCCGCTATCGTGCAATCTTCCGTCTCACCCGATCTGTGTGACACCATAACTCCCCAGCCCGCTTGCCTGGCCATGTTACAGGCTCTAATGGCCTCAGTCACAGTGCCGATTTGGTTCACCTTTAGTAGAAGTGCGTTACAGGCTTTTGTGTCAATGGCCTTTTGCACGCGAACCGGATTGGTGACAGTTAGGTCGTCACCGACTATCTGAATGCCCGCTTCGCTTGTGTAGTTGATCCATGCATTCCAGTCATCCTGATCAAAAGGATCTTCAATGCTGACAACGGGATACTTGTCGACCATTGAGTTTAACATATCAATCATCTTTTCAGATGAAATCCAGTCCTCCTTCTTAGATTCAGGGTTCTTGAAGTCCAGATCATATAGACCGTCTTTGTAAAACTCCGACGCCGCTACATCCATGCAAATCTTGATCTTACCAGTATATCCTGCCGACTCAATCGCCTCTGTTAAAAGCTCCAGTGCTTCAAAATTGTCCTGAATAGTGGGCGCAAGGCCACCTTCATCACCAACGTTGCAAGCGTCCAGCCCATACTTATTCTTAATCACTGCTCTTAGAGCGTGGTATGTCTCGCTTCCCATTTTCATGGCTTCTTTGAATGAAGTCGCTCCTGTCGGCATAATCATAAATTCCTGGACGGCCAGCTTGTTTCCAGCATGACTGCCTCCATTGAGTACGTTGAATGAGGGCACAGGGAGGATAATATCACGATTTCCAGCAAGGTCTGCAAAGTGACGGTAGAGTGGCACATTCTTTTCAGCAGCTCCCGCCTTAGCAACCGCCAAGGAGACGCCTAGAATTGCGTTGGCTCCAAGTTTACTCTTATTCTCCGTACCGTCGAGCTCTTTTACCAAGAACATATCAATTTCCTCTTGATTTGCCATAGCGAAATTTCGTTGACAGAGAGCAGGACCGATTATGCGATTGATGTTGTCCACGGCCTTGGAAACGCCAAGACCACGGTAGGCAGACTTGTCACCATCTCGCAATTCCAGCGCCTCGTGAATGCCAGTGGAGGCGCCACTAGGCACAGCTGCACGGAAAAATCCCTTATTGCTTGTCAGATCAACTTCGACAGTGGGGTTACCACGACTGTCGAAAATTTGGCGAGCAACGATAGATCTCATGCTAGCTTGTAGAGGTGAGACGCCTTCTTGTGAGACAAATCAGCTGAGGTGGTCTTTCAAACTGCCGTCGATAGCCTCGCATCGATTGACGCTTACGCGTTGACTGCTGTCAAAAGTGCCTCCACATTGTTACCCCGGACGTATCTTTTAAAGAATTTGCTCAACCTCCGTTGTTGACTACCCTTATTTGTCCATTTAATCATTCCTTAAACTGCGTAATTCGTCGTTTCCAACAACAACAGTTCTACTGCCATTTTTTGAAGGAAACATGCTGTCGAGTTTCTGCAGATTTTTTATCCATTTTACGGGGAAAACCACAGAAGACTGTGACATGGTTCTGTGGAACGGATTTTCATTTCAGGGTGTCCAAATACTTCACTGGACCACTCGGTGTCTGCATAAGGGGCATGTTGGAAAACCTCGGCTTAGTTCGTTGCCTGAGCATAACATTACCTTTCAGCTTATTTTTAATTTCAATTTCATTATAAGCTTTTTCTCCCCACAAAGTTCACGTGCTTTTTAAATCTGTATGTGTGTACTGTGTGCACTCGACTTTTCACCTGAGAAGAAGGGAAAAAAAATATGTCGCCTTGTGTTCTAGATCGCGCCTTCCCGTGATTCCCATTGGTCTAAAGGACACCCACTTCATCGACTTCAAGACGCACTTCTCGTCTTTCATTGTCTCGCATTATCACGAGGATCCGGGGAAGTTTAGCGAGGCACTAAATCGACTCACCCTCTCCCGATCGGTAATCATGTCTCTCAAGGGCAATAGATTTGTCTTTTTGTCCCACTTCTCTCTACTCTATATTGTTACTAATGCAGATTGTGGTTGCCTTTGAAAGGGGCCAACCTTTTCCACTGCTATCTAGAACTTTAAAACTTACCACGCTTAAAATTTTGAGGTGACCTAGTCTCCATCTGGGGTGCAGAGATCTGCATTGTTGATGACTGCAACAGCGTGGCGTCGTAAAGAGCAGTGACAATGTCCAGCCATCCAAATCCGAGTCATACGGAATAAGTGTGCCTAAACGTCCCCAGTCTAGGGCGTGACAACCGTCTCCAGCTCCTGAATGTAGAATAAGAAGTCTATTCTAAAACCTCGAGGGAACGTGGCTTCAGAATGCCATGTCTGTTAGAAAAGAACACTTTTTGCCATAATCTTCGAGGGCAAATCGCTGTGGAGACAAGGTTTTAAAGGATTACAAACCAGACACTTTAGGGAAGGCCTTAGTTCCAAATCCGCAGTACCTAGTGAGGTTTATAACGTGTCCATTCAAAGTCAATGTTGGCCAGAGGCTCAAGATTCAAATCTTGTCCCGTCCATGCGCAGCTATCACGCCAAGTTCTTTTCCGTGCTAATGACAACTGACACGGACTCTGACTTTACCCTTTTTAGAAAGTTACGGAGCCTCAAAGGTCAGCAAATGGTCTCAGAGATTTCAGAGCTTACTATAACCTCCTCAATACCATCGAACGACGATTCTTCGACGAGTCTGTTCACCACGGATTCCGCTTTTCTTGGTGAGTTGAACTTTTTTTAAAGGTCCCACAGTCGGCAAATTTTTAGTAATTTTTTTGATCTTGTATAACGGTGGGTCAATTTTTTGGACTAATTCTTCAATAATCATCTTGAAGCATCTCTTATTTACCGTTAGGGGGACTCTTGCGGAACTTCATTTACAAGGAAAGCTTAAATAGCATCTAGAAGAATTGTTTGCGGTAAAATTATGAGCACAAGTGAGATTGTTTTTTTCATACCGGTGATTCACCGATCTGGCACTCGTGCGTAGGTGTGTGTCTATCATTTCAACACCACAAACAACTCGGATGTTGTGCTCTCTCTCTCAAAGAGGATTTAATTATGCATGCAACCAGTCCAACTGGCTTCTGCACTCGTTACCTGCTTGATAATTTACATTTCCGGTTGCATCCTCTAGCTAATTTAAAATACATCCACTTTCTTCCCCTTTGCCAAACCACATAAACCAGCAGTTGGAAGTCGGGTGTTTAAGGCGAATGCAGACTTTTGGACCTGGAAAGGCAGAATAGTTGACATTTGGGAATGGGGACTGTGCGTGTTTTCTGGCATTCGGCTAGCACCTGCAAAGTTTTGGCACTCAAAGAAGACGAAATATTTCACCCCCATCTGCAATGCTAAGGCAGACTGTGTCCCGATTATCCAGAATCAAACATTCGAGGTGTTTGATTTTCATAGAAATTACTGCCTTTTCACCATTTTAATGTCTTCCTGTGGCTCAGCATCTCATCGCACTATTCTTCTTGAAGTCTCCTCTAACTACCTACTGGATTTGAGTCCTCATTTTTAAAAGCGACTTCATCCCCACCGTAAGATTTTGCATGCATGCATGGAACACCACCTTTGCTTTCATCTTGAGGAACGCCGTCTGCTCTGGCCGAAGCTCCAAACGTTGCAAATTACTAATAGACTATGCTTATTACCTACCATTACATCCAGTGTCACCAGAATAGCACCGTTTTTTTCAACCTGTTAAGTGATATCCCTGTTTAACCTGAAAATTCCTCGCATACATCTTCAGTGTACCTCTTTCCGGAGCGGCAGCTTCGTGATTGTGCTTCACTGTTAAGCATTTTGTAGGTCCGATGCATTTACCGGGGAACAGCACAATCAACGATCGCCAGCTTTCGAAAAAGGCTCTCTCATCTTCAACTATGCTGCTCTCTGTTCGCAAATTGCTGCTGCTTGCGTACGTCTCTTGCAATCTCCTACCAATGCTCAAATTTCAGGATTGGGAAGTTAATCACTTTATTATTATGTGTAGGGTTAGTTTTTAGAGCCCGCTCCCGCCCTAAAGACATGATAGAATATGAATCTGAAGGGAAGGGCTGGTGGACTGTTGACAGAAACCCCCAAAGACTGAAGAACTGCTGTGCATTCTAACATAAAACTGAAATACGCAGAAACTGAATGATTTTTTACCAGGTCTGTAATGTGAGAGTTTGCCTAGCATTACATCTCGTCTTGGAGGGTATAGGGTTACCGTCACACACACACCTGTTCAGCGTAAACCACACAATCAAGTCAAAAAAGTGAATTACTAGAGTGCTTTTTGTTAATAACAAAATGACTTGCTTTTGGCAAATCATATGCGTTAAAGTCAGGTTAACAAGTTAATTGCTGCGGTGTTATTGTACTTTTTTGGGCTAATCGTAACCTACTTGGTTGTTGTGTGTCTCATAGACCATCTATTAGTTGGTGCTGGGACATTTCGGTCCCCTTTCCTAAACAGTCGCTATACTTACCATACTTACGAGTCTTTTTCGAAGAGGAAAGAAGAAGCGGCAAATGAGCCTGGGGGATACTGACATGACCCGGCTGCTAAGCGGCTCAGCGAAGGAACAAAGACGTAGCGTTAAGTGCCCAAAAAACCAAAGCGAAGAGTTAAACACATTATTAAGTAATTACAAAGCCCTTCCCGCTACCCTGGTCAAGCTTCCATGTCAGCTATCTCAACGTAGTCGGTGCTGTAAGCCAAACACCCACGAGTGACACTTTGATCTCCTGGGTTCTATGCTCTTGACAACGTACTGGCAAATCACATGAAAAATGTCACATTGGCCTCTTCAATCAAGAAATTTAAAACGCGACCTCTTTTGTAAACGTCTTTTGAGACAGTCATGTTTAAAACTCTATTGTATTTTAACTGCTAACGCTCGCCACCAGCGTCACGTATATGTGACATCAAATTAAGATAACCCTTAATTGCACTGAATCGTGTCGCTGTAACAAAACTGACTACGTTAAAGGCAACATCGTAACCAAGGAAGGCTCTTAATTTGGGACTAGTTACAGTTTTTCTTTATTTGCGCAAAATGCTCCTCCATAAGACACATCTTTCGTGGGCAGTGGTGGTCGATTTTACTTTGTCATCTCGACAACAGATATGTTGATGCAGAAAACTCAGGTAAACTATGTTTAGATTTGACCCAGTTTTTCCTTGCCCACAGAGTTGTTTGACTTTTTAATACTTTCATTATTTGTTCAACCCTTCGTTTCGATTACGCGGGCACGCAAGGCCCCGCCACTTATGCCTTCAGTGGCGGCATGGCCCCCGGGCCAGGCTAGTCGGCCGTCTAGCCCTTCTCTCCGTCGGCAGCGCATTTTCTGTTCTAGTGCGATAAATTTTATGAAATTAGAGAAGACTCGGTCTTCTACTTTCAATGGTAACTTGAAAGATGGAAAGGCGTTAGCCGATGCGTTTACAGCCACGCCTACAAACAATGAAGATTTTCGCAGACCTTTTTTAAATCAAAACTCCTTAATTTCTGTTTCTATAGACAAACGAAGATTGCCTGCATTTGCTTTTAATTGAAGGTTACCATAGCAAAAACACGTTGGTGCTTTTGATGGGCACTGGTCTGAAATTTTTACCTCGACAGGGGTAATAAACTTGTCTTACATTTGGACATTTCACAAAAGAGTAGGAAAAGTAGTAAAGTTCTATATCCTACACTGACGTCGTGGAAATGCTTTCGTCCGTAAATCCAGATGGTTATCTCTACGACTCCTGTTTGTACTGCGTACTCTTCGGTGCATTTAATCATCTTCCTGAAATAAAGTTTAAGATCTGACGCTTTCAATGTTTCGAAAAATGTAAAAGCAAACTAATTTTTTCCCTCACAAAAAAGTTGCATTTTATTTTGCATTGGCAGGGAAAATAAGGTGCTTCCGTAGAAATGCCGTCGCAAGGCCTTTCGGAGCCCGATCCTTTATTGAAACATAAGAAGGTGCACAGGTAAAACTTCATCCGTTTCGTGGAGACTGACGCATTTCTTGTAGACCGCCGACTTCTGATCTTTTTGTCTGTGCACGTAAGGGCAGCCGGGCGAACAGCCGGTATACCTGCAAGAACGGCCCGACGTTCGCCTTCGGCTATCTCGGTCCCCCTAATTTCCTACTTCAAAAGTGGCACTGACACCGAACACTCCCTGCAGAAATTGTAGCGTAGGAGTTGCCTTCTAGAACTAGATCCTGTGTATTTCCGTGGCAAAAAACCCTTTAAATCAGGCCGCCCTGCAACTAAACCCAGAAATAATTAAATGAAGGTGAACAAGTCCTACTTGAATGTGTTTTAACTAACACTTTATAAGAAAAAATGGCCCACCCTCGAAAAATCGTGCTTTGAAAGAATGAAACTACGAAGTATGCGACCTCACAACTAAAATTAAAGGAAACGGTGTCGAAAGGGGTGGAGAGAAAACACGATCAAGCGCACCTTGCTGACAGTGAATCTCTCCACTGTCTGCTCAACCATCTCACCCTTTGATAGGTCCGGTCTGACCCCATCTTCTTGGGATGGTAGTAGCGGCATTTAGGCGGCATTGTTGCCCACCTCCTCCTGGCGCCTGTCACACTTCTCCGAGGACCACAGAGTGACTTCGTCATGTGTGCAAAAGGGCATTAGCCACTCCAACAGTCTCATTCTCTTCTCCTCTCTGTTCTGAGCTCGTGTTTTGAAAAAAAATGACGGGAACCAACCGTGAAGTAGATGATGTGAAGACGTCATCAATGTTCTCTACCAACTTTGACTCATGACTCATCTATTCCAGCCACTTCCCTCCAAAGTGTTTGGCATTTGGTGACCTTCGATAGGTAACACCAGCAGTGGAGGTCGAGCTAAAAGCCCCTCTCTAAATACGCATTGAAATTGATGAGATGCATGAAAAGGGGATTAGTTCTCGTAAATATTGTTGTCTTTTGAAATTCTAAGGCATAGACACCTTCCAGCAGTCATTCCACTTCCTCACCTCGCAGCCAATTCTGATCTTTTTAGAGGCGATGGGCTTAAATATACACCTCGTCGACCCAGTGCAGACCACAAAATGGCTACTGCAGCGGTTCCCACATCATCAGCACAAGTTGTGTACCTTTCGGTAGAAATTTTGGCTAACAAAGGAGCCTACATGCTGAGTATCAACTGATCACAGGAGGAACCAATTTGCTTTGAGAGTCACGTCTCGTGGAAAACTAGGTTTCGTCTAATAAAAAAAAACCTTAGATTCTCAGGACTTGCGAAAAGGAGATTGAAATTCACACGGTGAGCATTGGCTGTCAATTTTCATCTACACTTTCTCCTACCCATCTGCAAAAACACCTCAAATTTTTGCCCTTTCGGAGGTAAGTTATCCATTGCCTCGAGGCCTGAAGTACGAGTCAGGCCCGTCCACAACCAAGTTCCACACAAAGAACAATGAGCAGGTGAGGAAGGTATAAAAATCCTGGGTGACAATCACCTTGCTCAAAGTATACACTGAAATTCGTGTGTTGATAGAATGGATATTTTACAGCCTACAACTCCTTCTTTTCTTGATACTCCGCGCCGATTGGAAGGGTGAACTAGAAAACTCGTAAAAAGGCATTGAAATTGCAGGAGGGCCGCAAAGTTCAGGGCCACCTAATGCTTTGCAGGATATCACTTTCTTTCGCCTAAACTCAAAAGAAGTTGGTATTTTCTTTTTTTATTTTAAAATATGCGAGAGATTTTCTCGTGGTGATCTAAACGTGGTAAACGGTGTCTCGAAAATTTCCTCCCCCGGCTATCCCCTGGGCATAATAAATCCGGAGACGTGATTGAATTGGCCCTTTTTTAACTTTCAAATTAAGCATTACTTATGAAGAATAACAAAAAAACACATTTTTAAGAAGTTTCTACGCTTGTAAAAAAAATGAGTGGGTGTTTTCATGCAATCGTTCAGTTGAATTTTTACTTTAATACATTAATTACTTGTTTAATTCGCGGTTTTTTTGTAATGAGCCACTCAGGAGCCCCGTCATTGTACCCTCGCGGAGCGGCCGGGCCTTCAGATCATGATAGTAGCCCCAAGCCCTACTGTTTGTCAAAAATGCCCATTGTGACCAGGTATTATTATTTCTCGTTTCTTCAGGAAAGTTTTGGGGTGCTACATCCACTGCAGACTGCGTCAAAAAAGCATATACGTCTTTTGCACCTAAAAATTGTGGTGCCGATCCTATATAAGTTGCTTACACTGCTATGCCGGAAACGAAGGAGAGAGATTGCAAGGCAAGCAAAATTTGATTTTGTATTTCATTTGCAACCAAGCAATTATATAGCCAGTCAAAATGCCAAATTTAATTTTAGAAGCATAAAACACCTCGGTCTGGTGAATTTGAACGGTTATTTTGCCTGGTCAGACAGGAATGTGTAATTAAGGCCCGAAGGAGACAGCTACCTTAGTACAGAGGTGGAAAGAGGTCTTGACTTCGTATCGGGCAAATATGGGATCTGGCACTGGTCAAAAAAACATCTCCGCTAAGGTGAAATGTAGGCTTCCTTGCACATGAGGCATAAAGACAACCTTCCATCCCTCCTATACTTCGATAGCATGGGCTTCTTTACTACTTTGGAGGGTTACCGTAATACGATAGTGGTTTATCACCCAGTATTAGTGAGGCGCCACTTTTGTACACCGAATTAGCCCTCTTGTACCTCGCTAAGTGGGCTGGCTTTTTAAGCCATGCCAATAGTCCAGACAACTCTGCACTACACATATACTCTGCCCGAGTACTGTGTCTTCTTTAGTCTTCAGGGAGTCTCGGGACGATACATTAAGCATTCTGTGAGGAATAAAAACGCCACAAAACCAAAAAATGCGCATCATGGAAGTCCTTTAAAGAAGCTGCTTAGCCTTGCTGATACAATTATATTTCCACAAAACTGCTTTAAGGAAAAGTGATGACTCTTATTTTAGTCAAAATTCATTTGGGAATAAAGCAGTCATA